CCTGGCGCAACTTGAGGCCATTTCCTCTCGTCCTATCACTTGTTACTTGGGAGAAGAGACTGACCCCCACCTCACTACAACTTCCTTTCAGGCAGCTGTAGAGAGCGATAAGGTCTCCCCTCAGCTTCCTCTTCTCCAGACTAAACAACCCCAGTTCCCTCAGCCGCTCCTCACCAGACCTGTTCTCCAGACCCTTCACCAGCTTCGTTGCCCTTCTCTGGACACGCTCCAGCACCTCAATGTCCTTGTAGTAAGGGGCCCAAAACTGCACACAGTATTTGAGGTGTGGCCTCACCAGCGCTGAGTTCAGGGGCACGATCACTTCCCTACTCCTGCTGGCCACACTATTTCTGATACAAGCCAGGATGCTGTTGGCCTTCTTGGTCACCTGGGCACACTGCTGGCTTATATTCAGCCCTCACTGAACCTTGATAAATTGTGACACTAGCAAAGCCTCAGATCACAGACTCATGGGAAGGCTGAGGTTGGCAGGGACCTCTGGATGTCATCTGGTCCAACCACCCTGCTCCAGCAGGTCTACCTAGAGCCGGTTGCTCAGGACCATGTTGACATGGCTTCTGAATATCTCCAAGGAGGGAGGCTCCACAACCTCCCTGGGAAACCTGTTTGAGTGATCTAAAGTGCTGGGGACTGGATTTCAAGAAAGATGTGGACCAGCTGGCAAGTGTCCAGAGAAGAGAAAAGAATACAACCAGCAAACACGGCCTATCAGGAAAGGTGGAAAGACCTGGAGGTTTGCAGGAGACTGCAAGGGACGTGCTAACAGGGCTATGAGATGCCAAAGGACCGATGTATGAAGTCAGTCAGGTGTTCCCTGCCCCACAAAACAAAAAGTAACTAATTTTCTTTCCCAAAGAAAATATGTGCATTAGATGTTGGGGAGGGAATCCCCCAGCAATTTTGAATTACAGGGATAATTCAATAAAAGCAGCTGGAGAGGCAAGAGATCATCCACCATGGAGATCTTTAAGACATGACTAGACAAGTATCTGCCAGCAATCACTTTGTTATAGCAAAGCCTGCCTCTAGGCAGGGGCATGGTACCAGCAAGACTGTTAAATCCTTTCCATCACACTTTAATCCCCTTGCCCTTCAGCTTTTGCATCTCATTGATTGCTGAAGCTTACATGTTAGCATGTCACTCATTCCCAGCCTGAGGGAATTTCTAGCATAAACATTCTTTGGACTTTGTGTTTTTCTTTACTGTTCACTGAAAGGTAAGAAGCGAGGGATAGAGTGAATGCCACTCCAGAAGCAGACAGCATCACACATGAAAGGAAAAACACAGGATGAGGCCAAACCCAGAGGGCCATGGTACAGCAGCAGGTGGTAATAAACTTGAGATATCAGGTGGAACATCTTTCTGCAGCTGAGACCTGGCTCATTCCTTCAGCCCCTCAGCATTTATTTCTGCTTTTAAGGCTTGCAGGAGCAGAGCTGTTCTCTCTGTTCAAGTAAACAAAACTTAAACTGAAGCAACCTGCAAGCATCTCGACAAAACAGCCCAGGTTATCTGCATACAGACATCAGAGCTGCAATTCCGGCAGGGAGTGAATAGAAGTAGTGAGGTGTATCGATCTGTTCTCCCAAGTAACAAGTGACAGGGCAAGTGGAGGGCAAGCAATAGGGCCTTAAGTTGCTCCAGCAAAGATTTAGATTGGATACCAGGAAAAAATTCTTCACTGAAAGATTTGTCAAGCACTGGAACAGGCTGCCCAGGGAAGTGGTTGAGTCACTACCCCTGGAGGTATTTAAAAGACTGTAGACATGGTGCTTTGGGACATAGTTTATTGGTGGACCTGGCAGTGTGAGGTTAATGGTTGGACTTGATGATCTTAAAGATCTTGTCCAACTTAAACTATTCTATGACCTTATGAGGAAAAGATTGTTATAAAGGTCAGGTCTAAGCTGGAACAACTCCCAAGCTCGAAAAAAAACAGTGTTGAACATGCACCAGAGACTAACCCCAGGCCAGTCAACAGCACTATTCTGCCCTGTCACTCAGAAAAAGCCATTCAGAAGAAGCACTTTGAGCTGTCACTACCCAGCAGTACGGATATTTCTGTTCTGGTAGCTGTCTCGCCTTTGCACACACACCAGCTGTGAGAAACTCAAGGATTTTAAGGTGTTATAGATGCATGGCAATCAAACACCATGGAAAATTATTGCATTGACTTTAAACAAGTCAGTG